TAGATGGCGACTTCCTTGTGGCCCCTAGGTGACAAAAGACAGAGGTCTTTGAGGTAGTGGAAACTTCTTTTAGATGTTTGGAAGATACACGTTCACCTTTGTGACTTAGCCTTTCAAACATTGAGACATGAGGGGTTGAGCCTCCAATGCGATCAAGTACTGAAGCCCGTTGTTTTATTTTCTTGCCCTTAACTTCTTTCATCTCCTCTACCGAGGTGTATTGTGATGAAGCTATCTTTTTACTTCTCTTTGATGAAATTCGAAGAGGCTCTGCCACACTGAACCCTAACCCAAACTTTGGAGTGGCGACGTAGTGCCCTTACTTTCTCAACTTTATTTGGGACTCATTAACACCATGTATCTTTTCACCAGTGACTTTGTCTTTTAGTTCTCCTAGTCGTGATGGATTGGAGAAGTCATAACCAGACTTTTCAAGCTGTATGAAGGCCTTAGGATCATAGTGCCCTTTTATTTTATCGACTTGGAGATGGCCTTTAGCAGACTCACAAGTCACGGATGGGATTTGTGCAACTGGGACAGTCATATGCTCCTTCAAATGTTGGATATCTTTGTGACTCACTTGCTTATTTGGAGTACATTCCTGTAGCAAAGGTTTCCCTTTCTTTCGACGCTCACGTGGAACATAGCGAAAAATCAGATGTTCCTCAGTTGTTATCTGTATGTCACCTTCAGATGATGATAGCTTAATGGATACTTCTTCCGTTCCCTTCTGAGGCAGCTTGGTGGTAGTCCATTGAACCTCATTTTCCTCTTCTGACTTGACATCATCTTCGTCATCTGATGATGGTTTCTCTACTTTCGGTTCACAAGAATCAATGTAGAATTTTGCGTCTGCAAAGTATGACTCCGTCTCAGTGAAAAGCTTGATGTCTGCATCAATTTTGACTATCTCACCATCTCTTCTATACTTCAGACATTGATGCAAAGTAGATGATACCACCCCATTCTCATGAATCCAAGGACGTCCAAGCAATAAGTTGTATGATGTTTTAACATCTATTATGTGAATCAGGGTGTTTGAATTTATCTCACCAATGGATAATCCTACGTGGTTCATACATATGGCTCGTTGTCCCCCTTGGTTGAAACCTTGGATTATTAGGTTACTTTTGAATAGCTCATCGATAAAGATCCCAAGCTTTTTTAGCACCATCTTTGGCATGAATTCCAGGAAAGAATTCATGTAATGTGATGGGCTTTTGGAACTTCGGCGATAAGGCACTGTTAATCTTCTTGTTAATAGAAGATTTGATATTTCTTGGTGATTGTAGCCTATTTGCATTACTCATCATTTCTCTTTAATCAGGAATTCGTAGCCTCGAAATTGCCTGATGTTTTCCCTTCTTGTGAGTGACTAGAATCTACCCCTCATCGTTTTTGTCTTTTGAGCGATTGTCTAGCTCTAGTGAACCTTCAAGAGTTTTCCTTAGAAGATCAACTTCAACGGGCTCGAAACTTCCAAATTGTAAGAAGGCAGTGCTTGACACGTTATGCAACTTTGAACACTTCTTTTCCTTGAGCGCGGCACTTGCCTGATTTGCTTCTGCAGTTTCATCCATGTCTATGATTATTTTTCCTTCACTTACAAGAGCCATGATTTTCTCCTTCAAGATGAAGCATTTCTCTGTAGGATGGCTAATGACGCGATGAAATTGCAGTATTTCAAATCGCCAACTTTGCCAATTTCTTCTGGGCTTTTTAATTCAGGTAGATCGATGATTTTCTTGTCCAGCAGTTCATCAAGTATTGTGGGTATGTCTGAATCTGGAAATGGATAAACCTTCGCCTCTAATTCCTTCAAGGTGGGATGACGCTTCTCCTCTTTGGGATATTGACTCGGGGTCTTATCCTCCTTCACTTTTTGCTTAGTAGTGACCTTCATAGAAGTTGCTTTCACCGCCATTGATTCTTTGGTTTGGTTCTTTGATGCAATATTTTTCTTGAACTCTTTTTGATCAGCAAATGGAGATGCCTTTCCATGACTTTCGATGCTTAACTCCATATCATGCGCTCATGTTGTTAGTTCTTCAAAAGTTCGCGGTTTGATCCCTTGTAAAATGTACAAAAGGCCCCAGTGCATTTCTTGAATACACATCTCCACAACAGATATTTCTGAAAGACGATCTTTGCAATCCAAACTTAACGCCCTCCAACGATTAATGTAATCTACCACGGGCTCGTCCTTCCTTTGCGTGGTGCCTGTCAACTCTATCATGCTTACAGTTCTTCGGGTACTATAAAAACGATTGAGGAATTCCTTCTCAAGTTTCTCCCAACTATCAATGGACTCGGGCTCCAAGTCAATATACCAGTCAAATGCGTTCTTTTTCAGAGAACGAACAAATTGTTTTACCAAAAGGTTACCATGCGTTCCAGCATTGCTATAAGTCTCGACAATGTGGGGAATATGTTGCCTTGGGTTCCCTTTGCCATCAAATTGATGTAGCTTTGGTGGTTGATAATTGATGGGCATGATTAAACAATCAATCTTATTAGTATAAGGCTTAGAGAAGTATGAACTTTGCGATGGTCCGCCATATTGAGCTTTGATAGTGTTTGTTATCATGTCTTGCAATTGTTGGACAGATAACGTTGCAACTGAAGTAGATTGCTTTTCCTTTTGAATGTTTAACTTTGCAAATGATTCCTCAACAGTTGTTTTCTGGGAGGTGAAGACAGGTGAACGAGGAGGGACATGGCTCGACTCTCCAGGTGCATAGGCCTCCAATTTGTTCATGAGTTGAGCGATTTGAAGGTCTTTGTCTTCAACAGATTTCTTCAAAACCTCTATAGTTTGTTCCATCATGGCAAACTTTTCGTCCACGTTAGTTGCGTCAGTCATCAAGGCATTGATTTTCATTGAAAATGAAGAATCCACCAAATCCTCAAATCCGCCAAGGTTTGAGGCTGTTTGAGAAAGTTAGTCAAACATCGAAAATGGGGTGTTGCCCCTAGAGATGGCGGCTACGAACGTCATATGAGATCTGCTTTTCTTTGCCATCTCCAAGGAGGCGAAGTATTCGGATCCATCCAAGCCACTAGCCTTGAACTTGCTTCGAGTGATTGGGCCAACATTACTAAGCTCAGTGGATGCGGCAACAGTAGCATCTTTGCATGGAACATCACACTTGTGGAAGGCCATTGTAGCAGTAGATCTGAAGTTTGTAGTTTTCAACTTGCAAGAAGGAGAGATGAAAGGTAAAATTGGTCCCACTGGGCGTGCCAAAATTTGTTCGCAATAAATTTTCGTAATACGAAAAATAAACTGCAACAAAAATAATATGAAGAAAAAGTGATTTTATTGATAAATATTTGTGAGTACAATTCTATGTATCCCTTGATTATCTTCTCTAAAATTCTCCGTAATTCGAGGGCTTGAGAAGCGTCTTTCTCGAATATAGGATAATGCAGACCTCCTTGTGATGTATTTAATCGCCAAGAACGTCGAGCAACACTTTATTGTTACGGGTTGATCTCCAAGAAGAACTCCGTTGATCACTCCTTTGTTGAAGAACTACGCACTTGATGATTGATCTCTCTGTTTGTGGATGACTTCACCAATTGCGGAGTGTTCTTTTCCAACTCTGAAAAATGTCTCCTGAGAGTTATGTAACCCCCTCTATTTATAGTTGTAGAGGATGGACAATCAAGTTACATAAGAACTCTCTTGCTTGATTCTGATTGGGCCATGTCATTTTAGCCACTTGGCGACTTGTGGTTAGTTCTTGCTTTTTGACTTGGATTGCCACATCATTTAACACGTGGCATCATTTTGTTGGCTTTGGATTTGACTGGACATGCCATGTCACTTGACACATGGTACGAGTCTGGGCCTTAAGATGAAGAGAACCTTGAGCTCGACAATAATAAAATGGACTAATTTAACTTGTAAATCCCAAATTAATCATTTAACCCAATTGAATTTAATCCAAATTTTATATGGATTAGACCCAATAAATTTTATATATCTACACTCCAAAAAATTAAATTAAAACCAAACTTTTGAAACTCTAATGCATGGAAAGAGACTCATAAACGATATGGGGCAAAAGAAGTCAACAAAAAAGTTAATAGGTGATATAGAGATACAAGACTTCCAACTCTAACATGACCTTATTTAACCTTTTCAAAGGGAACCTGTTAATATTATCATATTTTTGTGCAAAGAAAGAAAAAAAATCCGTCGAAAGAAGGATTAAATTTAAATATGACAGTTTAAGAGTATGCAAATCAACTTTTTTTTTAATCGGGATTTGACTCCTTAAAAAAAGACTTTGTTTTTAGATTGATGGAGAAAATAGGATAGTGTTTACAACAATATATTTTAGCTTAATATGATTAAGTTTGATAAAAAATTAATGTGAGAAGGTTGGTGTTATCTCATTACATATATTATACTAGTACTCTTTGTATAGGTCCAAATTTGGTAACAATGGTAACGGATAAGCAAGACATAGGACGATGTCGACCACGATACAACAGCCGACGGTTGTTCAAATGAAGGTCGACGACTAGAAGCGGGCAGCTAAGATAAGATAATAACAGTGACTTAAACTCAGACAGAGACATGAAGAATATTCCTTTGGATATTCTTTATGTTGTACTTTTTAGGATTTTTTTGGGCATGTCCCTTATAAATAGGAGGAGATAGTGAACAATGAGTGGATCTGCCTTTTTGAGAACTAATAGATATTGTAAAGTTTAGAGAAGAATATACGGAAGAGTTATCTTATTCCTTTCGTTCAAGCATATGTTATTCAGCCTTTATTCATAAATTTCAAGACCCCATATATATATATATTGATTGCTCATTTTTCCATGACATCAGAGAAAGGAAGTACCCAATCACACAATCATTAGGTGACAGTTCCTTCACACTATAATTCTTATCATTTCTTGCATTTACTATACATTTACGACATTATATATTTCATCAATCATAGCATATTATGCTCACTATTTAATGCTTCTAAACTCTACTCGGTGTACAAGAATTTTGCTCTATTTAGTGTAGGATTTATTAAGCATTTATTACTAATTGGTTTAGTATTTATTTGCTCAAACACTCTTTTCGATCGTTAAAACAGGTGATGGTTAAAATATAAATTTGAAAAGTCACATTTATTGAAAGTTCATCACAAAATCTTCAATTTCGGAAATCTTCCAATTCATTTGTTCATCGAGAGCCAATTACCCTCAGCGTGGTCCACCGTCTCTAGCATGGTTAAGTGCTAACGACTCACCGGCGGGGTACTCTCAGACGAATTCTCCGACCAAATTTCCTATAAGGCCGGGTCCTTGTTTTACAATCTCCTATCGCGTTCCTCTTCAAACATATGACAGAAACAAAGTGAAAGAAGAGATATGTTGGGAATTTCATACGGAGAGCTATTTGTCTTGCTTGGCGCTACTGCTGCTCTTATTGGTACTCTTTCATTTTTTTTCCAGTTGGGTTTAATATGTGAGTCCAGAATATTATTCTGCGACTTACTCCCTTTTCCCATTTTTAGGTGTCCAAAATTGTATTTAGAGGTCAATTTGACCTATTTTAGGGTGATATTTCAAGTAAATTTAGAAGATAAACAGTAGGTAATTTTAAAATAGGTTTAAAATGATCCATTGAGTAATTAAGTTTTGATTGCAAAAGATAATGCAAACTATCAAATATGCTTGTTATAGCTGTGTTAAGGAAATTAATCACTTTGTTCAATGTAATTGCTACTGGGTGTTGTTGATTTGTGCATATCTTAATGGGAAATATCTTGTTCACTATATGTGTACGCGTGTGTGGGCGCAGATGATATGGTTTGACCTTTTAAAAAAAGTAATTTATGTTCTTAGGACCTAAAGATTTGCCAATCATAGCAAGAACAGCTGGCAGATTTGCTGGGCGTTCCATTGGTTATGTTCAATTGGCCCGTGGTCAATTTGAAAGTGTTATGCAGCAGTCTCAAGCTCGTCAGGTTTCTTTCTTACTGCCTAAATCTGCCCAATATTTTTTGTTTAAACTCCTAGTCTTATAATGCATTGGTGTGACTAACTTCAAACTTCCATTTTTTTTATACATTAAGTTCAAACTTATTGTACTGCTTCATAAAGTTCAATCTGCGTTATATGATTAGTAGGTGTCTAGTGTCCATGTAGCTGTTTTCCCTTTCGATTTTTAAGGCTGAGGTTTTGCATCAAGACAAGGACTGATATAGAATTTGTTATCGCTCTTAAGCTGATTGACTAAATTTTGCTTTGTGTTGCATAATAGCTTATTAGCTTGAAATGAAATGTTACCACTTGTTATTTTATCCTTCATCTCGATTTTTTAATCAGGTGCATAAGGAACTGCAAGATACCATTGCTCAACTGGAAGCCATACGTCATGAAATTCGAACTATCTCTTTTATGAATCCTGGTCCAATGACATTGAGGCTAGTAGACAGCACCAACACAGCAGCTGCAAATAACGCTGGTATTGTGAGCGTTACTGTGTTAAAACATAAATCAGAAAACAAAATTGTTAGAAGAATAAAGAAATCTAGAAAACAATAAAGAATCAGAAATATTCCGAGTCCACAATTTTCTTGTGCGTCCTTAAGGAATTTTAACCCCCTCACACGTTGCCAAGGTAATGGATTAAATCCTCCCAGGATAAAGCGGAATAAACCTTCCTGCAACAGTGGCAATACAAATTGCAGGATACCAACGAACTCAAAGAACGGAGCAAATCACACTTACGAATTTGAGAGAGAGAGACTGCGAATTAGGATGCAATGTATTCAGAAAGAAAGAAGTTCTAGAGTGTTTTTTTCGTATAGAAGATGCAGCCTTGCCTCAGAATTTATAGGCAAATATCAGAAGAGGTGTCTGGAAATGTGGCTTTTCAGAGAGAGGCTCTCTGAATAAACCTGTCGCGGTTCCACCGCGACCGCGGCAGAATCGCGGTCAGATAGGCTCTCTGAATCTTCAGCAAGATTCTGGCGTATATTTGTTTTTGGCAATCCACTAGGCAAGCGCCTATGGCTAAGTTTTTTATTAATAAAAGAACAGAAAAATACAACAAATAGGAAAAGTACAAATAAGGGGGACAATAGCACCGATATTGTTACCTATATGCCTTGGCTATATAATCACTCCTCTGCGCC